TGGGGCCTGAACTCTGGGCCTGGGCGCTGTCCCTCAGCTCTTCAGCTCAAGGCTAGCACTCTACCACTTGAGCCACAGCGCCACTTCTGGCATTTTCCTTTTTGCTTATATGGTGCTGAGGAATCGAACCCAGGGCCTAAGGCATGCAAGGCAAGTGCTCTACCACTGAGCCACCTTCCCAGCCCCATCACATCTGTTTTTACACTAGTAGTTCTCAAAGCACAATTCCTTGGCCAGCAGCATGTGCATGACCAAACAATTTTTGTACATTTTTTCCACCCACTATTTACTAGTTTCCCTATAACTAGGAAGGTAAAGGGGTGGATGTTCAGCATGTATTCTAGCAAGCTCTCCAATGATACTTACATACAATAGAGCTTAAGAACCATGGTTCCACATTTAAAATGCCTCTCTCTCAACTTATTTTCTATAAAAGGCTTCTAACTACTTTATAAACTCTTTTCCTACTCCTTTTGCCTCTCACCCCCTCCCTCTGTCCTTCCTCCCTGTATTTGTTTTCTCCAGCAGGCTAAACAAACCCTTAGGAATATTTTAAGAGCTTTATGAATTGTTTCTTTTTCCCCTGAGTACAATTACTGCCATCAGTCCATACATATGATCACATTACACAGTTATAGTTAATTTGTATGTTTCTTTCCCAGAAAACCAAATCCCTAATTGTGAGTCTTAATGTTTTCATTTGCTGATTATTAGGTCAAAATATTCATGCAGGTGGGGTCTCTAAGCAATCTGTTTAGAAGACTAGACTATCCTATGAAGCATCAACTCATGTGCTTACTTCTGGTGAGGTCTGCACTAGCTCTAGCACACTGACCTTAGGGGCCTTTTCAGCTTTCAGCTTTCGAACCACCTCTCCTTGTGCAGCAACTTTATCATAGAGAGATTTACTGTCCACAGTGCTTGCTGGTGATGTGGAAACATTCTGTACTACTGCAGCTGGAGGACTTCCAGGTTTGTACTCTTGGCCAGTTTTTTCTTTATATTCAGCTTTCAGAGCCAAAAGCTGTTTAACCGCTGCATCTATGTCTTCCTTTGCTGCTTTCTTGGCTTTTAATTCACGCACTGTATCTCCTTGAATAGCCACTCTGTTGTAAAGGGCCAAGGAATCCTCAGATGTAGCACACGTATTATTCAGAGAAGGAGATGGCCTTTCCTTAAGAGGAGAAGTTATCTAGACATGTAGAAAGTCAAAAGTAGAATTAATGGCTCATGTTCAATACTACTTCCAAAATTCTATCAAAAATTTAAAAAAAAAGAATAATGTAAGCATAAAGAAAGACAGACTGCTGTTTACCTCATGTTTTGTGGTTTCTACTTTGGTCTTTTCCTTTGACCCGGAGGTTGGCATTTCCTTTGTATGTCCATCAGGAATATATATTAAAATGCATGGAGCTTCTTTGCAACTATGTGGGCTAAAAAGAAAAGGCCAAAAAGTTGATTTGAATAAAATATCTAAAACAACAACTAAAATGAAATTTCTGGGAGGGGGGGTCCATGATTATAAGTGCATTATACATGAGCCGGGTGCCGGTGGCTCACACCTGCAATCCTAACTACTCAGGAAGCTGAGATCTGAGGAGTATGGCTCAAAGCCCAGGCAGAAAAGTGTATGAGACATTTAGCTGCCAATAAGTCAGAAGTGGAGCTATGGTTCAAGAGACAGAGTAACAAAGCTCAAGGACCTAAATTCAAGCCTCAGGACCAAAAAATAAATAAAATTAAAAGCCACTCCTTGGAGCTGGGGAGCTTGGTGGCAGAATGCTTGCCTTTCATGTATGGAATTCTGGACTGGCTCTCCAACGAAACACACATAAAATAGATACAAATATTTACCTTACAGGTTCATAAGGCTGATCACATATGAAGAATCCTCTTCTCTGGAGCTGAATAATGTCTCCTTTTTTCAAATCCTTAAGGCATGGATCCCCTAACATTAGTTCTTCACGCTATAAAGATGATACAAGATTATACTTTTTCAAACAAGAACACTAGAAAACTCTGAAACACAATCAAGTTTTGTAGTTGCTCAAATATTCCTTTTTTTTTGGGTCCGGTCGTGGACGCTGTCCCTGGGCCTGGGCGCTGTCCCTCAGCTCTTCAGCTCAAGGCTAGCGCTCTACCACTTTAAGCCACAGCGCCACTTATGGCTTTTTTCTTTTTGCTTATGTGGTGCTGAGGAATCGAATCCAGGGCCTCGAGCATGCAAGGCAAGGGCTCTACCACTGAGCCACCTTCCCAGCCCAAATATTCCTATTTTTAATAAACGTTAAAAACTTTACTGGGGCTGGGAAGGTGGCTCAGTGGTAGAGTGCTTGCCTTGCATGCATGAGGCTCTGGGTTCAATTCCTCAGCACCACATAAGCAGAAAAAGCCAGAAGTGGTGCTGTGACTCAAGTGGTAGAGTGCTAGCCTTGAGCTGAAGAGCTGAGGGACAGTGCCCAGGCCCAGAGTTCAGACCCCACGACTGACAAAACAAACAAACAAAAAAACCACCTGCCTCCGCTTCATAAGCGCTGAGGATTACAGACACATAACACCACACCTGTGTTTTTTTCTTTTTAATTGACATACAATTTTGTAGAGATTTTTCCATCTTACCTGAGAAACCACAACAATTACAATCAACTTTAAAAATGTTAAGTTTCTATAACAGAAAGAGATAAGTATAGAAGGTTACCTTACTGTTCTTGTTGACATACTGCTTAAAGTCCTCATCTTTTCCCAGTACAGGCTTTGTGATCAAGTGCTCATAAGCGACACAGATAGCTGGAGTAGGAAGTGCATGCGATGTCTCAGCAAGCCATGTAATCTTAGTTGTTTTCTTGTAGTCTTTGTTTTCCAAATTCAATTTTGCATCAAGAGATACAACTTTTCCATCTTCATTTCTAGATTTAAGATTGAGAAATATTAAATTAAGCTTAACTGCTACAAATATATATTATTCTATGGTGATTATTTTAATTTTAAAATTATTTTTATTAAATAAGTTTTCTTCAGAAAAAAATTTAAATCAAACTTGAGTTTCTAATTTATATCAGACATTTATTAGCAATTTAGATGAAAAAAGCATTCTCTGCTGTTAAGATACCAATAATCCACTAGACAATCCATACATATCTGATATAAATCTAAAATTACTTTGATGCTTAATACATTAAGCATTATAAATCTGAATTAAAATCTCAAAAGAAGCATCCCATCAGGCATTTATGTACAAAACATTTTGTTAAAGGTCTCCAAAGTCCCTTAAAACTATGTTTTACATTTGGATAAAATAATTTTAATATCACAAAATATATCCAAATAGCTTATTAGTAAACTGGAATATATAATACAAAAAAGTTAGTGTCCAGAATTTACAATATTTATGTCTAGACAGATTTACCAGTGAGAACACGTCAAAACATTCAGTCCAGGTCTAAATAAGGCAATATTTATATATAATAAGTAAACATAAAAGACATTTTTCCAAATTCATTAGAAAACAAAAAAATTCTTACTTGTATATTTTAGTTATGTTGATGTTGCCCCAATTTATAAATGTAACCATCTCACCCTCTGAGAAAGTCTCTGCGTCAGCACCTTCTATGAAAACTTTAGGACCGTACCATACAGGTTTCAAGCCAACATCGGGATTCTGATTATAAAGAGTGAGAGAGGGAATGTTAGTTGGAGCAACAGCTTACTGTAGCCTGATCCTAGCAGGCAATTCTGGTTCATTAATTCATCTATTCATTGTATTACTACATCATTAAAAGCCTATTGCTATATCAAGAAGAAATGCTTTTTGAGATCCATTTAACATAAGTGTATTTTTAATTCTTTTCTTGGCATTGGAAAAGTAACACCTGTTAGATAAACAGTTACACTATCCTTACGACAAAAAATCCTTAGTTCCAATCCCAGTTATGACATGGATCTGATCACTGTACTGGAGGTAAATGAGGTAGGGAGCCTGTGCCTAAGAGTGCTTCTAGTATATACCAATCATTCATGGATTTCAGAGCTACAACCACATTCTGTTCCCTCATTACTTCACTGGCTGTTTTTTACTTTCTCAGTTATTTTCAACCACACATTGCCACTTGAGCAGGAAATTTTTAATCTATCACATTTTAGGAGACAAATTTTGAGAGGCAAGTAAATTGTCTGTCTTCCCACATTATATGCAGAAGAAAGAGATGAGAAATAAACAGCATGCTCTCTTTGTTACATTCTAAAATGCCAGAACTCAAGAAGCTAAGACAGAGGCATCACAAGCTCAAGATCAGTCTAGGTTACATAGCAAGACTGTCTCAAAACCCCCTACGTAAATAAATAATTAATTAAATGCAAAATCATTCAAAGGCACGTGTTTACTAATTGCTTAATGAATGTAACAATGTAGCAGACATTGCCAGTAAGCTACTTGTAAGGTTGAGAACAGAAGGATCACAGCGCAAGGCCAGCCCAGGCAGGAAAGTTCAAAAGACCCTATCTAAAAAACAGCTGGCAAAAAACTGGGTTGGATGATTGGCTCAACTAACAGAGCACCAGCCTAGCAAGCTTGAAACTTTGAGTTCAAACCTCAGTACAGAAAGGAAAAAAACAAAACAAAAAAAAAAGCTGGGGAGCACAGGGGAGGAAGGTTAAACGTAATTGTAGAACATTTGTATTCTGAAGTCAGTATTAGTCTTCAGTATTAGTCTTCATATATGTGTGTGTATCTCTGTGCCTCACCAAAAAAAAAAAAAATAATTACACTTATAATCCTAGCTACTCAGGAGGCTGAAATCCAGATGGTCTGCCAGACCAGGAAGAAAAGTTTGCTGATTTTACCTCCAAAATAACCAGCAAAGAGCTAGCTGAGCACTAGCCAATGAGCAAAAGGCAGAGTTGTGCTCAAGTGGCAGAACACCAGACTAGCAAGAGTGAAGTGCTGCATCCAAACCCTAGTACTATGGGAGGAAGAAAAAAAAAAGCCAAAATGTGAATTAGAGTACTTCATCTCTCAGAATGACTCCAAGAAGAGATAAATTCTTTTTATATTTATTTTTATATATTAACATGCTTTCTTTACTGAACAAAATTTCAGCATGAATTAAATGTAACCATTTTATATAGTGTGCTCTACATTATTAGCAGAATGAATCTCTTGGCAAGAAATCCACAAAAAGATTTGCTTAAATTGGTATCAAGTCTTGATAATTGATGATGAAAAGAAATTGATCCCCAAACCATGCCATGTCCTTTAACACAAAAACCGTTGGTGAAACTGTCAGGTGACCTTTGGGTGTTTTGCTACTTCTTTCATCTCCTCCTGGGCTTCTGGGACATTCACTGGTATCACTTCTTTCTTTAGTAATGCAACATACCGTGGGGCCACCGGATCAATAACCTGCAACAAACACATCCCCATGTTACAACACTGAAATATTCTGTAAAATGTCATAAATAAAAGTAAATAACAGCACAGAAATACTAACTGGCTTTGTTACTGCACTTACTAAACTTTGTGGTTTATCTGTTCTCACATATCTAATATTCATCAAGCAGGAAAATGAAAAAAGTTATAAGCTTACACAACATAAAAGATTTAGAGTTCCTTCCCTAGAATAACTACTGATAGGTGTTGAAAATTATCTTTAAATCTGGTATCTAGTGAAGCCTTGAGTAAAAGAGCTTAGGGACAATTGCCCAAGTTCTGAGTTCAAGTTCCAAGGCTGACCAAAAACAAACAAACAAATATCTGGTAATCTAAGAGAGAAGAAATCCCTATAGGTAAATGTAATTTACAACATTGCATTGTTGGAGAAAACCATTTTAAGAAGACTATAGCTATTGTTTCTGTATCTTTTTTTAATAACCAGTTAGGCAACATGGCACCATCAAAAGCAGTACAGCATTAGATCACTATAATAAGGCAATTCCATAGATTATAAAAGCATAAACAATATAATTCTATTGTTCTACATCTTATACAAAGGTTGGGCACCCATAAGCTACAAGTCTGAAATCTGAAGTGCTATGGTTCCAAACGTTTTAGATAATGAATACTCAGTATATATACATATTCAAGAAACACTATTATTCCCAGTATCTAGAAATACAGGTCTGGAAATACAGGTAATCAATAAAGATTAATTGAATGCATCATCGTAATCGATTCTCTCAAGCAGCAGTAGTCTCCTTCTGAAGCCAATGTAGTACACTTTCACTTTTCTGCTCAAATTAAACTTACCAATGGTGATTATTCATCACAGAATTCAGATACTCTATAAAACATCTGGGAAAAAAATAAATAGATTTCCACCCCTTTAGAAGGGTATAGGAAATAGTGGTACATATAACTAAACCTGGCTACATTTGTTTTACATTGTTTTATTGCTACTATTGTTGGGTTGGCCTTTTCATTTACTTTGGAGTAATATTTTGCTTTAGGAAAGTATAATAGGCATTCTTAAGAACTCAGAAAAAAAGCCATCCTCAAGTCATTACCACAAAGTTTAGAAAGCTATTAAATTCCCCTTGTCTGCTTATACTTTGTGACAATATTAAATCACTACTCAGTCTTAAGTTTACTATTCTCTCCTTGAGGCTTAAAGATCCTAATTCAGGGCTGCCTTTTTCAGCTTCTACCACCCTAGAATGATCAAAGATTTAATTTGTAACAACTCAGATTAGCATCTAAGAAAGTAAGACAAAATTTAGTTTAAAGAAAATAAAACAAGACAATAATATCTGGGAAATTTAACTCAAGTCATTGCAGCTGTTTTCCCATCTAACAAAAAATGTCAGCTGGGGCATTTATTAATGCAGACTGTCAGTCCACTTAACCTTACAGTGGTTCTAGTAGTCTTAAGTATAGTCTGGAAATTTATTCACTGGCAATACTGAACTTTCAACTTAGGTCTTACATTTAATGAACAAGTGCTCTACCACTTGTGCCACGACTCCAGTTGGAAATTCAAACAAGCATTCAACAGGATGGCTAACATCAAAAAAGTTTGGGAAACTTTGGACTAAAAACTTTTAAGTCTATATGTGGTTATGGTGGTAAACACTGTACTTTAATTATTCTAGAGGCTAAAGCAGAAGAATTACTTGAGCCCAGGAGTTTGAGACCAGCCTATGTAATACAGTAGAACACCATTTTATAAATAGATTAGCCGGGCACCGTGGCTCACGCCTCTAATCCTACCTACTCAGGAAGCTGAAATCTGAGGATCACAGTGAGACTTTTGGGAAGAAAAGCGCTCAGGCCCAGAGTTCAAGCTTCAGGAAGCTGAAATCTGAGGATCACAGTGAGACTTTTGGGAAGAAAAGCGCTCAGGCCCAGAGTTCAAGCTTTACAACCAATAAAAATAAATAAATAAATAAATAAATAAATAAAATAGATTTACGTCCTTTTCACTCAAAAATAACACAAGTCTCAAAGATTCTGGTTCAGTTGTTTGGAAATTACTCCAAAGAGCCTGAGGATTTCCCATGCTTCAACCACAGCAGCTTCAAGTTTGTTTTATTTGTTGTGCTTTCTGCAAATACTTTCATTGGAAGATTACTTGTTGGTGGGGCAGGAAGAAAAGACTGCACACTTTGATCTAGTAGCTGCAAGCAAAAGCAAAGAGACTGGGACTGGGGAAGACTATTACCTTACTACTTAGAAACATACATTTAAAAATGAATACAGCTACAAAAGTTACCAAAGACAAGTAACAGCTCTGAAGTAAACACCTTAAATCTGTGACATTTTGGTCTAGACTTATAAGTTTACATTTTTTTGCCAGGAGCTGGTGGCTCACACTGGTAATCCTAGCTATTCAGGAGGCCTAGATCTAAGGATCTTGGTTCAAAGCCAATCCCAATAGAAGTATCCATGAGACTTATATCTCAAATTAACCACCAAAATGCTGGAAGTTGGAGCTGTGACTAAAGTGGTAGAGTACAAGTTTAAATTTTTGAAGTTAAGTTAAAGCAAGGAGAAAATTAACATGTTAAAGCTTTTTCTCTAAATGAGTATGTAAAGACCCTCAGGTCATTTTCAAATAGAGTCTGCTTAATTTTTTTCCCCTGAAAATTGTTAGTAAAAAGCAGTAAGGTTAAAGGTAGATGGTTTAGCTTCTCCCTTAATGATGCTTCACTTAAATTTTATCTGTAAAGGGCTGGGAAGGTGGCTCAGTGGTAGAGCGCTTGCCTTGCAAGCATGAGGCCCTGGGTTCGATTCCTCAGCACCACATAAGCAAAAAGAAAAAAGCCGGAAGTGGCACTGTGGCTCAAGTGGTAGAATGCTAGCCTTGAGCTGAAGAGCTGAGGGACAGCACCCAGGCCCAGAGTTCAGGCCCCACGACCGGAAAAAAAAAAATTATCTGTAGACATCAGAAAGAAAATTAGAAAACAACCTAGTAGTAGTTAGTAGTAATAAGAGAACCCTAAATAAAGGATCTGAACCAAAGAAGTAGACAGAATAGTTTTCATATAGGAAAATGTCATGGAAGATCAATAAAAGAAACAAAAGTATGTAATCAAAATGATTCAATTTTACTCTCAACCAAAATACTTTATTAGATAACATTTAAGGATTAAGGATCATTGTGATTTCAGGATATACAAAGCAAACTGACTCTTAAATCCCCATAAACAAACCCAGAAGGACTAGCAAAACAGAAGCTAACACTCAATTCTGGAAGCTAAAAAACATAGAAGCATCCCAATATCACTCCATAACCAGGAGACTGCTTCCTTCCTGCCTCATGAAGAACAGTACCATGAACAAGAAATACCACGTCTAGCAGAAGCCAAAGGGAGCCGAAAGGGAAGGTATTGAACTGCAAACACAAGGAGGAAATAACAGGTGAGACTAAGTGTGAAAGCCCTCGGCAGTCACTCTCCAATTTGCTCCAAAGCCTTGGCAGCAGGGCCTTCAGGTTTAAGGGGGTGATTAAAAGAATTTCCCTTTGGGAAAACTGCTATAAGAGATGAAAAGTTAATGACATGGAGGTTGGAAGTTCTCCAACCTGCCCAGTCAGCTCATCACCAATTCTTGTTCCTCAAGCCTCCACTTACTCTTGTAGTCTCCCATATCAAACACAGACATTAAAATGAACCCGACACCTGAGACTGGCCTTGACTGTTAATGGAAGAAAACACAATAAATAGGAAGCCATTTTGAAAATTCATACAAGAAATCTTGAAAAGAACATGAATGAAAAATTCATCAGAATGGCAGAAGGTAAGTAATGTCCAGAAAACAGAACCAAAGAACAAATACAGAATAAGAGAAGATAATTGCACAAGAAAAGCTCCAGGAAGAAGAAACAGCAGAGATGGACTGGGTTCTACTTCAGTGGAAGAGCACATATTTTACATGTGGGAGGAAAGAGAAGAGGATCAGAAGTCAGAAGGTGGATGAGGCAATGCTGTTCATCTTCAACATAATCTACAGAATTGACAGTGAAATTCTTTTAATATATTTGAACAAAATATATATGTAAAACTATTAAAACAAATCTATAAAAGTGGATAATTAATAAATTAATGGAAGTGCTAGCCTACCTGCAAATCTTAAATGTATTATTAGTAACTGCAGCAACAAAGAGCCAGTTAGTAATTCCTTTATTTTCAAAAAAACTGACTGAACACAAAAAAGACACATGCAAGACAAGCAAACTATTTCTTGAGGCAAGACATCAGCACAATCAAGCAGCAATCCCAATAAAGAATTTATAGCACACAATCACAGAAACCATAGTTAATACATGGCATTTAAAAAAAAATGATTTGCCTTATTATAGTATCTAAGCATCTGCTCCCAGTTAGTAAATAACAGTATCAATTTGCATGATTCCTCATTTGATTTTCAGTTTTGTTTTCTTTTGTTTTTAAAGCTGGATCCAATAAGACACAGAAATTGCAACTAGTAAACCTTCCACACAACCCAATGAAGTGTAATTTTAAAGCTTTGAGTCCTCTCAGCACACAAGGGAACAGTAGAATGAAGTTAGCCAAGTCTTCCCCTTTGCCATCAAGTAGAGGACACACTTTATAAAGCTGGATTAATGTATTCCCAACATGTTTACATAAATAAGACTTTTATATAAATGTGATTGTGCTTCACTCGATGATAACATGTAATAGGCTAAGAAGCTATGCTTAAAGTAAGGCGAATACAAGCATTAAGTAATACCTTCTTACAGAGAGCTCGCAGCTTGAAAGCAGAAAAATGAAATGCAGAGTGTTCACAAAAGGTTAAAGGAAAAAACAATGACCATTTCCCATACATCCAAGTTTGTTTCAATTATTGTTTACTTGTTGGTATAATGGCTCTTTAGCCATTTTTAAAAGGAAAACATTCCATTTTCCTGGAAGATTGCAAAATGATTAATATTCTTCCAAAATTTTTCTCTGCCACAGGACACTAATGATTTCTACGTGTGTATTATTCCAAAGTCAAGAGTGACAGAGTGAACTGAGAATGACCTCTGTACCTTTTTGTTAAATGCCCAGATCTTGTCCCACTCCATGTTCACAACAGAACGTGAGGAGCCCTAGAACAATAATAATAAAAATATTTTAAGACTAGAAGTAGTAAATACTTTGTTTCAAATCAAACAGTTTTAGAAAAATAAAAACTCAGTAAATACTTATACATTTAGTTCAACTGAAATTTAAAACTTGTTGCATGCAAACTGATTTGTTATACTTAACCATTTATTGTCAAAGTTCAGTCATACTTTTTACTGGATAAAAATTCTTCAATGTTAGGTTAGGAGTTTAGGACAATCTAAATTTTCCACTATTATAAAAAGCTAACCCTCACTGGGCGCCGGCAGCTCACGCCTGTAATCTTAGCTACTCAGAAGGCTGAGATATGAGGATCATGGTTCAAAGCCAGCCCCAGCAGGAAAGTCTGTGAGACTCTTATCTCCAATTAATTAACCACCAGAAAACAAGAAGTGGCGCTGTGGCTCAAGTGGTAGAGCGCTCACCTTGAGGTGAAGAGCTCAGGGACAGCACCCAGGCCTACAGTTTAAGCCCCATGACTGGCAAAAAAATTGAAAGTGAAGCAAGAGTACAAGACCCCTAAGTTCAAGCCCAAATACTACTGTACACAAATCCTAACTCTATCCTTGAATCATAGGCACACAAGAAATAGGAATAACAGAAATAATAACAACTAAAAGGATATTAACAGACATACCTACAAATTAAAAGAGAACCTAGGAAAGAAATCAACTCACTTGAGCAGCAATAAACTGTTTCAGTCCTTCAACTGTCATTCCTCTTCTCAAAACACCACGGACTGTAGGAAATCGAGGGTCATCCCTGGGAAATATGAAAACTGTTAAATACCAAGGAGGAGTTTTAAAATGTGTAGATGCAGAAAATAAAAGACATCTAATGAGTAATAAATTATAATTTGTATTAGTTCTGGTAAATCAGTTCTCTTAGATTTATGAGCATGATAATCAACATGAATAGGTTTCATTTATAGATACGTGACTATACAATCTTTCATTTTTACACTCATCTTTCTTATAAAAATATCATTTAGGTTATTAACATGCCACAGAAACTTTTATATTCTTTCTAGAGGCAAAATCCTTTGGGCAATTAGTCCTCAACACATCAAGACCGAGAGCGCTTAAATGTTTATCTCAAGAGTATTTTGGCCATAACAGAGTGTGGAGAATGGTACTAGAGCTATGAAATACCAGAGTTATATACACTTTTCTGTTAAATGATGAACTTTGCAAAGAATGTGATCTCGTGTGATTTTCATGCTCATGTGCCATGCATGTTCTACAGTGAGTATTCCATGCTGACAACATTAAAACAAGGTAGGGTTGGGGAGGAACAATAAGGCACTAAGTGAAATGATGTCTAAACCAGGATTTCTATATAGACCCACAGGCCCATCTATTGAACCACCATTTTTTTATTGTTGTTGAGTGTGAGGCTTGAACTCTGGGCTTGGGCGCTGTCCCTTAGCTCTTCAGCTCAAGGCCAGTGCTCTACCACTTGAGCCACAGCGTGACTTCCAGCTTTTTCTGTTTATGTGGTGCTAAGGACTCGAACGCAGGGCCTCATGCATGCTGAGCCACCTTCCCAGTCCCCTGAACCACCACTGAGTTACATGAAAAATCAGATATAAAAATTTTACATATATGAAATGAATAATTATATCTATATTAAAGAAAAAAATCAGATACAAATACTTCTTTGTCAATTCTAGGTAATATGAAACATACCATCCATCTACTAGTCCTTCGTCGACAAACCATGTGAGTTTTCTTTTGGACAGCACTGTGTTGTTGAGATTTAGGCGACTATATTCCCAGATATATGGTTTTCTTATCCCTAAAGCTTCAATAATCCAGTAGAACTGCTCATCTCTGTCATGGTACTCTGTTGTTCTCAGGGCATGTGTAACACCTTCAATACTGTCAACTATAGGACAGGCAAAATCATATGTTGGATACACACTAGGGAAAAAAAGAATGTTTTTGAATCAACATTACCTATTTTTTGTTTCCTATTTTAAAACATTTATAAGCAGCAATAGTAACAAAAACTATAACTCTTTGTAAGTTCAGAGTTTTGTTTTTTTTGTTGGTCGTGGGGCTTGAACTCTGGGCCTGGGCGCTGTCCCTCAGCTCTTCAGCAAAAGGCGAGCGCTCTACCACTTGAGCTACAGCGCCACTTCCAGTTTTCTGGTGGTTTATTGGAGATAGGAGTCTCACGGTTTTTCCTGCCCGGGCTGGCTTTGAACCGCGATCCTCAGATCTCAGCCTCCTGAGTAGCTAGGATTACAGGTGTGAGCCACCAGCGCCCGGCCAGAGTTTTGTTTTTTTTTTAAAGGGGCTTTTGTTGTGTGTGTACTATTACTGGGGGTTGAACTAAGGGCCTTGCACTTGTCCTGGGGAGGCTAAGAACAAGAGGACAGCAGTTTGTGGAAAGCCTTGGCAAAAA